CTTATTAATTTGGAAGCATGGTGATGAAAATGGTGATGTACTAAACACTTTCCTTATATCTGTTCACTATTAGCTGGCTGGTGATGCTAAAGAGCATTGATGTGCTACAGGTGTTCCCTCCTCAGAGCAAGTTTCCCACATCTCATCTTCATTTCTGTAGTTTTGCCCTTGACCCAACCACTCCAAGCCTCTAAAGAAGTTTGGATTTGGACTTTGCAGCTATGGCTATAAGTCAAAACAATATTTTCACACATCCCAGTATATTAGTCAGGGGACTTGTGAAACAGAGGAAGGACAGCAAGTTCTTAGTTGAAATTCCCAAATGAAGGGATAAATGCTGGGTTTGCAGGACTAACATTCAGGACACTTAACCCCATTTTTATGTGTCAAATGGTGAAGAAAGTAATGCTCCTGGTTGGAAGCCCTGCTTCTATCCCTGCCAGCTGCCATCTGAGTCTAAAAAAGTAGGATGACCCTCTCCAAACCTGGGTATTGTTAAAGCAGGTGATAGTGGAGATAACGAAGGGAGTTACGTGTCATTCTCGCTCATGCAGACTCTTTGCACGCTTGTACTTCTGACCCCAAGATCATGTTCCAGATAGCAACATATGCAAAGTTTAGTTATCTTTCAGAGAACCCACCAGAAGCCTAAAACTGAGCTGCTTTTTTTTTTTTCTCCTTGAGGAAATCCTGTAGCAGCCCTCCTCTGCTACGGTAACTGCAGCTTTGCAGCACCTTTGCTGCAAACAGGCACCAGAGGGATTCATGCTGGGTGTCTGGCCAGCAGGCAGAATGAAACTTCTATGAAGACAGACAAATCGAGAAGGGGGTGGTCTGGGAAATGACAGGATGGACCCTCAGGAACTGTCCCCTCCGCTGATCCAACATCGGTTTGCCCAGCCAAGGCTTGGTTTGAAGTGTTTACTCATCTGCCTTAGCCCTGGAAAACGAAAAGGAGGTTAAAAATTAATCTGTGCAGCTGGCAACTGCTGGAGTGAGTTGACATGGTGGTGCAAATTCTTTCTAATACCAGGAATGTTATGTAGCAGTGCAGTGACCAGGCATCAGGGTTCACATGTGGTAGCTTGACCCATGAAACTAAAGGCACTTCATGACCTTTGTGGAGTCAAGTGCTCCTTTTTGTACTGACCTGTTTAATTTTGGTGATAGGAAGGTGTGGGTATCCCAGTTCTTCACTGAGAAAGTGCCCATCCAGCTACAGTTGGCCTTTCACTCCCAGCTGTACTTGCAGAATAATGTGCCATGATGGATATCATTCCTTAAAATTTGCAAGGCTAAATTTACTAATAGCAGCCTATTTGAGTCCTCTGGAAAACTATAGGAACTTTATGGTATATCACCCCTCTTATTAGTGACTCTTAATGCTTGATTTTGGACCTTCTCTTACAAAAGGACTTAGCCAAGTGCTGCTGGAATCAACTTCAGGCTGAAACTTGAATTTCAGGCAGATAAAAAAATGAATCCCTGTTAGGAGAGACTGCAGGGGATGGAATCTAAATCTGCTGGGGCTAAACTAACACCAGAAAGTGCTAGCCTGCCACTGCACGAGGCCAGTCTCAAAGTAGTTTGGTAGTTACCTTAACAGCTATAAAAGGTGTAAATCTGTAGAGAGGACAGAAAGAATAAAGAGAGAAACTGCCCTACCTGTCTCCTACTCCACAGGGAATAACACAAGCTACATTCACAGTAACTGATCCTAGTAACTGCTCTAAATGGAGAGGAAAAAGCTGTGGCTGAAATCTCTGTACAAATTACAGGGAGACGAGCCTGTATCTCCAGCTCTCTCTCTCTCTAAGTCTAATTCTTGTGCTGCACCATTGCTATAGAACTTTAAGGCCCTTTGTATGACATAGTAAATACAGAACTAAAAAACTTCATGTACAGAAAGGCCTCTTCAGCATCACCACGAGGCTATTAGTGTCTCCCAGAACAATACATGCAGTAAGTGTGTGATAGGTGTGTATTGTCTTAAAAAAACACCTCAGAAGTTGAGATGTTTAAGAAGAGGCAAGAGACTTTTTTATAAGTGACTGTAGCAATGTGCTCACACCCTGAGCAGATGGCTCCTGGGGCAGAGGGAGCAGTTTTTTTTTGCTTTTCACATTCCAACCTGGTCTTTAGAGCACAGCAGAATAAAGCTGAAACATTTCAGACACTCAGAGCGTATCACGTGGGGCCATTAGGGCAGGATTAAATAAACATAATTAGAGGAACTCCTTCTGAAAGATGGTTCCGCTAAGGGATTCGAGTGCACACCTATTCTGTGCCCTGCTTGAAGTCCTAGTGCTGCTCCACTGCTAGAAGCAAATGGCTTTTGAAGGCAGCTCAGAGCCACCGAGCAGTCGCTTAGCTTTATAGTTTGCGAGCTGCATGTCATCTTTGAAGGCTGGGAAATTGCAGAGGCAGTGCCGTGATTCCCAGCCGAGTGAAGCAGACACTTGACACATTTCATCCCTTGCAATTAAGGCAGAAAAGCAGAAACGGGAAAATTCAAGCAGCGTTTTAGCGGTAGGCCACTCCCTCATCAAGATGAAGTACAAGCCTCACCAACAGATATATGCAGGACTGGTGCTAAGCACAGACAGTAATAAATGCACGTGAACTTTGCATGAGAAAGCCTCACACTTAGGAGACTTCATTTAGTGCTCTTAGTCATTTACACACATCCTTCTAAAGCGAAGAAGCTCGAACATAATCAAACCCTGTGTGAAAATTACCAAGTCAAATGCTGTTGTTCTGTTCTGTTCTCTTTTAATATCAGAGCACAAACTTCCCAGTGCAAAAATACAATCTTGTGATAAAATGACTAATACATGACTAAAGCCATTTTCCATTGTTCAGGCATAGCTCTGGGGATCATTTGTTTTTCATGGTAGATCCCTCAGACAGTGAATTCCTCTGGTGGTTGGGATTATATTAATGACCAGGACTGTTAGTCACCTCAAGGGAGCTGAAATAGGATGCCACTCTGGTTGCCTTTATTAATTCCAACTGCAGGTGTGAAAATTAATTTCATGGGTATTTTTATAATTTCCTTTTAGTTAAGGATTAGAGTTTCCAAATGACCCAGACTCCGGATGGAGACAAATTTGAACTGGGTCTGCCCGGCACCCCCATAACAGTCAACCAACTCTGACGAAGTAGGAGGAAAAAAAATAGACTTTCCATCCCTCACACGGTGAAGACAATGACACTGAAAGATATCAGATGTCATAATGACATACATTTCTTTGCACCAAGACTGTGTAAAGCAATCCAGTAAATTGCAGGTTGTTTTTATTTCTGTAGAAGAATAACACATTTGCCAATCGTGGGAGAAAAAAGAAGTTAAATATATCAAACCAAATCAAATGTAGCTGATTAGAAAGCTACAGTTTCCAGTTGCTGGCACGGGTACTGTTGTCACATAGATTTTCTGACAGATGCTGCTGTATCTCCATACTCAAGAAGACAGCTCCAGCAGCCAAGCTCCTGCCACAGAACTCAGACCTGGCATCCTTAACCATAGGTGGAGTTGGCCTATTGAATTTGGGGAATGGGAGGGGAGCTGGCTTACCTTGGCTGGAAAGGGCAGAAGTTGGAGTCATCTGGATCCATTATGGAGGGACAGACTGGGAAGGGGGAAACACCCCCCACTCACCCCCTCCTATGATTAAGCTTCAACTCCTGCCAGTTCAACTGGCAAAGATGTTGGTTCCAAACCTGTCCTGTATTCCCCTGACACCTCCTCCTGCCAGAGCCTAGTGAGTAATGCTCGGAAGATAAGCAGGTTAGGCCAGACTCAGTCAGACAATTAAAGGCTGGAGGTAACGTAAGATCCTTGCGCGCTCTTATACGTACAGCTCATCCGGGCTTTTGGGTTATAACTCGTTGCGCTCATAACCACCCTTCATCCGACAGCTCTCTCCTCATGTCTGAGGCATCTTTGCCATGTGGGCAAGCACTCTGCCTGCCCTGAGACCGACAGAGACCAACAGAGGTCCTGCCCGGGGCTGCAGGGCTCGCTGCTCCCTCCTTGTCTATGTTGCAGTCACCAGCCTCCATCCATCTCCAAGTGTCTCTTCTTTACTGCTGCTGTGCAAAGTTTTTATGGCCTGATCCCTCTCCCCCTGCACCCCCCGGAGCCATTTCCATCAGCGCCACCCGGGCGCACAGCGGGGAGAAAAAGCTGCCGCTTGGAATTGGCTTCGCTTTACACCTCCCTCCCTGCGCCCAGAGTGACCCTCCCTGCACAGAGCTGCCAGAGCCGCAGGGCTCCACGCCAGCCCTCCTCTCTTATAATGAACCTTTTTAGGTCATGTAAGCCAAGAACCTTGTGTTGCTAAAGACCCCATCAGTTACTTTAAGCAGTTATCGTATTTTACTGTTTACGGGGAGTAAGTCCAGAGCGTGGCGCTCAGCCCATCGCAGGCAGCGCGGTTTATCACCAAAAATTAATGAGTTTGTGCCATCTCGCACTTCAAGACATTAAATCACAGTTTTGCTTAAAATTTACTGAAGTTCACGAGTTTTAATAAAAGACCATCTCAACCTTCACAGTTACACGTCAAAACATCATGTCAGAATCATGCCCTCCTCACCACTTAACTGACGGCTGACTTTAAGAAAGAGATAGCACATAAAATTCACTTATTTTTTCATGCTGCCACTGCAACCATTCTTACTGTTGAAACAACTTAATGCAGAGCAGAAAGGGAGAAAAGCAGCAATAATTTTTTTTTTGAGTTAAAATAGATACAAATGCAGCATGCATATTACTGGACGTTATTGTGAGAGCTCAGATACATAACATCAATGTAATTGCTTTATTCTCTTCCTTAACTAATGCTAGTTTTCTGCTTCTGTAGAGTTTTCAGATTAATTTGTGCAGGAGTTTTTACCAGGTTCTCCACTTACCCACTTCAGCTGATTTCAGAGCAAACACCACATTGTATAGCTGCACACGATCACCCAAGTTATAAATGATAAATCCCACCATAAAGCTTGATAAAAATCTTTATTGCTATTTCAGTTTTTATTTCTTTTAAATAAATAGGTTTCTTAGCATCGAAAATGTCTTCATTGATTTTTACATTTAGGCAAAAGCTGTTCGTGAAAATTAGTAAACTAGGACATGCATCATGAAACAAGCACAGTGCAAATCTGGTGACACCAACCTTTAGCCACGTCCTAAGAGTCACTTGCAGCTTTTCAGTTGCACCTCTGTGCTGTCTTCCCTCCAGGTGGAGAAACTGCTTCTGGATCATACAAAGTTATTTGGACTATTTCTAGCACTTTATGAACGTTATAAGCAAGCAACGAAAATATTCTGACTGCTAAAAAGCCGTCACTTCGTTAGGACTCAGGGTAGACAGAGCAAACTCACGCACTCAGGTGTAGCACCGATGCTGCGTCTTCCACATAGTCACTGTCAGGCACCTCCAGGGGAATAAAATCGAAGCAGCTGCTAAAACCTCACAATTTCTAGAGCTAAAACACAAGCCCTCTTGGATACATAACAAAAGCAACCAAGATGTGTGTTTAAGCCTGACTTTTCAAGCTACTTTTTTTCTAGCATAGCAATAGAAACTGTACAGACAAATGAAAATAGGTTGTATATTTAAGGTCTGTGCAGAATGGCCAAATAGGAGACTGTATAGGAAAATAAAACAATTCTTTTTCTCCCCCTTTTGCACAGTTTTGAAATGCGGCAAGTCTGGTGGATTCAGTAACACTAATACAAAACTGGAAAGTGAAGAGAGAGGAAAAGCAAGTTTCATTAACAGAGAGAATTCTACATAAAATATACTGGAGCTGATGGAGGAAAGGAAGAAACAGCCAAGATGTTCAGCTGCAAGTGAAGTCCAATTTGATGCTCAGCGTGAGTTTAAAGGGAAGATTTTCTCAGCCTTAAAATAAAAGAGCAGTATTGGATGCGTATGGGGCAGAAAACTGTCGTCACAGAAATGGATTGTACCGGGCTCGGGAAAAGCGAGAGTGGCAAAAGTAGCTCATTTTGCTGTGCTACATTTATAGATGTGCTCATTTGAATGCTCCCAGGAGGACCAGCTTTATGCTGGTCCAGACGAAATTACACAGGCATCCTACCACGCCACACCACGATGATAAACCCTGAGTGTACAGGAGATCCACCACAAGTTAACTGGGAATTTTGCCTTTGAATTTTGGGGAGCAGACCTGATTTCCTGCCAGCAGATCAAATGCTTTCTTTTATTTCTTGTAGGATCAGCCCTCTGACATAAACAAATTGCTAACATCAAGGACCTGATCCTGCTTCCCCTGAAATCAATACAGGTTTTGTCATTGGTTTCAATGGGATCAAGGATTCAATCCCACCGTTTTTGAAGTCAATAGGGTTTGGGTTTTCTCTGAATAAGCAAGGTTGCGTTAGTACTGCAGAATGGGCCTAAATTATATTGATTATTTGGATGTAAAACCAAGCATAAAAACAGGATTAGGTGAAAAAGGGAAATGTATGAGAGAGTGAGCGTAGAGCAGCATCCATTCATGGCGTGCAGCGGGTCAGCAGGAGCTCCACCAGAGCAAAGGCTGCAGTGGCACAGCACCAGTGAGACAAGTCCATCGGAAAATACTGGGGGGAAGAAAGACGAAAATTCACTGTGGAGAGCCTTTTTCATCTGCTCCTTCTAAAGCAAACCTTTGAGTCACTCACCCTTTATTAAAAACAAACAAAACATTGACAGAAGAAATTATTGTCACATATACACACACACAGTAATTGATTCTGCTTCTTCGCTGCTGCTTCTTTTCCCTCTCCTCCGATACAGGGGTTGTTCTGTGTTTCTGTAACAACTACTGGCAAATCAGAATTTATTGTACATATGTTTGTGTTCCACTTAATAAAAAATATACTTATATTTTCAGATAAACTTTGTTAGTAATTCATGAGGTAAGTGACTATTTATGCTAATAAGGGAGAAATATATTCTCAAGCATAATGCATTACATAAATTTGAATGCAAAATGTTCAATTATGAAGTAAATACAGGTAATGCGAATAGTAAATTACATCCAATAAAAATATATAAAGAATGTGTCTTCAAAGAGAGAGAGGCTTTTATTTGCGTCTGTGAGTTGTTTAAAGAGAAAAGAATTAATAAATACTGAATTACTCTTATGATGATTTAGCTCATAATTCACCAATCCATAACGACTCCCAGTAATCAGACTGTTGTTTCATACCCTCCAATATAAGGCAGGACTGTTTCCTCAGCAATTTTATCCCTACCAGATTATCTCGTCTGATTCTATTAATTCTCTCCCATAAATCTGCTAACAGTGATATGTGATTTACTTACCCTGTTAACTGATCTGAAGACTGTTAAAAGGATTTATCTAGCACTGCACCTAGGAGCAGTTTATGCCTTATCACTCTGCTACTCCGAAGAAGTCTTTCTGAAATCAATTTGGCCGGTTTCATACTTAAATTCAGCGGGCACTGTTTAGTTCTGCACCATAAAATAAGACACTAGATAAACAAAAGGAGCAGTAACTGTACTTAATGTGTTGGCCTTGATATGTGTTTAAGTTATAACAAATCACACCCTGAGTCCACATAACACAGAACCTGCACGTTTCGTTTCTGCTAAAATCCCGTGTGTTGGGTATAGACACACACACGCACACACACTCCAGCGGTGGAAGTTCCTGCCTCAGCTGCTGGCGTGCTCAGCGCAGGCCGACCCCAGTGGATTTGGAGTTAATGTTTCACATCCCCCCTGCACGATCTGTCAGAAAACTCTCCCACAATAAATATACATTAGTTTGGAGGCTTATGAGCCAGGTCAGCGGCACGCTGGGAGCAAGAAGGGCTCCACGGCACGTCGTCGAACAGCGATGCTTAAAAACAAGCCAGAGCAAGAGGCTGTGAGAGGGACGGTGGAGTTTTCCCTCTGCCTGGCTCAGGGCAGGATTGTTACAAACAGTGCTGGGAAAAGGGAGCAGTCTGAGGGAATTGGCCTGCGATAATTGTGGAAAAACTGAAGACTGAATAGCTCTAATTGAAATGAAAGTGTGTGATTGTTATGGAAGAAACACTGTTAATAGAGGACTGTAAATGTTTAGACACCCATTGTGAATAGCCAAATAATAAAGAAAAATACTACTAAAATGAGAATTACATAGTGTAGGGAGGAGAATGTTGCTTCTGAAGGTTATCCAAAAATTGCTAATAATGTTTTTTTCTCTGCTGCGCTGAACAGTAGAGACATTTTGGTGCAGCAGTTCTGTGTAACAATCACACAAGAATAATATTGTACAACTAATAATTTTACTCGCTGTTCTGGTAGGTCAGAGCTTCAATTAATTTGCAGCACTTGCTTACATTGGTATCAATTAAGAGACGGTCCCCATTAGCTCACACAATTTCATACTCTTTGTCTAGAGTTCAGAGTTTACTCAGGAAATTTACTCGTTTGCAAATGTAGCACTTTGGATCCTCACATCCAAACAAACATTTTATGGGGCTGGAGCCACATTTCCACAGCCATCTACCACACGGGCAAGGGAAATACTACAACTGTGCATTCTGAAACGCCATAACCTTTTCATTTAAAAATATTAGCACCCATTTTATGTCTCTCACAGGAGAGCATGTTAAGCGGCATACATCGCCACATTCATCTTGCTCTGGTAAAAAACAAATACAGAGAATTGGACTGTCCTGAGAGGATTTATGCCGTGAGCCTGGAAGTTTTGTTGATTCCAACAAAGTGAAGAAATAGGAAAGCCAGCCCAAGTAGTTAACTTGTATTAACTTTGTCATGAATCGCAATCTGTAAGATAAAGCCAGCAGATGTCCACGGCTCTGTGTGTGCGGGTGTGTTTTGGGACTGTGCAGAACTGCTATTTTAATTTTGTTAGAGATGTTGGTAGCATTTTTTATCTTTACAGAATTGCCACTATGATCATTTCTAGATGTGGTTATCTCCCTAAATTTGCAGTATGCCCTACCCCTTTTAGCTGCCAGGAACAGTACATGCTGTATGACTTTCAGATGTTAGTACTGGCACTCACACTGAAAATGGCATAGTCAGAAGATGTTATCCATTCGTAAATCCACTCGCCAAGTCCTATTTCCTAAGCAGAGATTCTTTGGCTATTGCAAATGATGACTTTCACAGTTGGTGAAAAATCACCCAGAGCCTTGCCCGCACCTACAGAGTGATACCCTGAGTGGGGTTATAAATAGTGAACTCCGAGGGGGAAGGGACCGGGCATGGGGAGAAGGAAGGATTTGAAGTACAATGTTCAAGAAGCAGGTTTAATATATGACCAAGTGTCAGAAGTCAGGTTTCTGAGAATTACTTTTCAGATAAACAACTTTATAGCACCGCGCTTAATCTTACTTACTAGAGACATCTCATTTATCACGGAATTACAAGTAACTTTAATTCTATCGATATTCCCATAAAGCCCGGTCGGAAAATCGAGACTGGCAGCCCGGGAGGATGCGGGTCTGGTCTCCCCGGCCCGGGTGCAGCCGGGACCGGGCGGGACCGCGGCGGCTGCGGGGGCGGCACCGCCCCGACGGGGGGCCCGTCCTGTCCCGTCCCGTCCCGTCCCGTCCTGTCCCGTCCCCGCGCTGGCCGGGCCGCTCGGCACTGACCTGTGGACGAGAGATGGCGCTGTCGAGGTTCGAACCGAAGCCGCTCCGCTCCTCTCCAGCCGCTGCCGCTCCACGGCCCCCGGCCCGGCCACAGCCCCCTCCCGGAGGGGAAAGCGGGGCGACAGGAGGGGGTGGGGGTAGGAGGTGATGGGGAGACGAAAGTAAATACGATTAGTTCTAAATGTATTAAATTAATTAGTGCGGGCCGGCCAGGGTAGTGCGGCGCCGGGAGAGGTGGGGGGGGGGAAGGGGTGTTGGCGCGGGGCTTGCAAACTTGCGGGGCTCTCGCACCTCCGGGGCGGGCTGGGGAGGGGGATGGAGGGATCGATGCCCCGTCCCCGTACCGAAATAATCAATAAGTGAGCGGGGCGCTGCGGGGGAGCGGAAGCGATGGCCCGCGGCCGGCACGGGGGAAGGGCCGCCCGCCCGCCCGCTCGCAGGTACCGGCACCGGGCACGGCGGAGCCCCGCGCAGCCCTCTCCCCGCCGGGCGCTGCCGGGCTCCCCTCGGGGCTCCGCGCCCGGCGCTCCCCCTCTCTCCTCCCGGCCGTCCGGAGCTCCCCCGCGCCCTCGGGTGCCCGTGCGGGCGGGCGGGGGCAGCTCCCGGGCACCCCGCCCCGGGGCAGGGCGCTCGCCCGGTGCGGCGCGGGAGGAGCGGCCCGGCGGGTGCCCCGTCCCGTGCAGAGCCGTGCCGTGCCCGGGCGCGGCCCCGGCGGCCAGGAGGGGGTTAAGCGGGCGCTGACAGTCAGCTGAGCCCTGACTGACAGCCCGGAAAGTTTCCCTGTCGCTATACTCCTATGCTAATGAGCCCGGGCGGCGGGCGCCCATTGGCCCGGCCCCGAGCCCGTGTCCTGTGTGACGTCAGGGGCGCTATAAAACCCCGCAATGCTTTAAACTCTCCTGCCGGATCAAACCTTTAAATATTTTTCATCTTCTTGCTGTAGCTTTGAGGCCGAGTTAGTTTTTTTTCCTCTCTCTCCTTTTTTTTTTTTTGTTTTGTTTTGTTTTTAACTCTTATTTTGGTTGCGATACAGACTCTGATTTTTTTTTTTTAAATTTTTTTCGCCTTTGCTCTCTCTCCCTCCTCCCTCCCCCGATGAACCTCTCTCCTCGCTCTGCACTTTGCACGAGAGAGCCCAGAGGAAAGGCACCATGAAGTGTTAAAAATAACAAAACAAAACAACAACAACAACAAATTTACTCGCAACAACACCAGCTAACACTTCCAGCTGCGGTTCGCGAGCTGCGAAAGAGAGCGAGAGGAGAGAGAGAAGGGAGGGAGAGAGGAGGAAAAAAAAAAAAAAAACCTCTATGCAAAAGGCGAATAGCGAGAGCCCCGCGCTCTGATGCATCAGCGGAGCCTCTACGAGGGATAACGCGGAGCGGGAGCGGAGCCGCCGGGGCGGACCGGAGCGGAGGCAGAGCAGGAGAGCGGAGCGGAGCTCGCCAAAAATCAAGCTGGCTCACCCGGTGGCGACTCAGAGCAGCCCCCTCGCTCCCGGAGCGCACCCTTTCTGGAGGACTCTCGGCAGCAAAAGGATGGCATCAGAGCTGGCGATGAGCAGCTCCGACCTGCCCACCAGTCCCCTGGCCATGGAATATGTTAATGACTTCGATCTGATGAAGTTTGAAGTGAAAAAGGAGCCGGTGGAGACCGATCGCATTATCAGCCAGTGCGGCCGCCTGATCGCCGGGGGATCGCTCTCCTCCACCCCGATGAGCACGCCCTGCAGCTCCGTGCCCCCGTCCCCCAGCTTCTCGGCGCCCAGCCCCGGCTCCGGCTCCGACCAGAAGACCCACCTGGAAGACTACTACTGGATGACGGGGTACCCGCAGCAGCTCAACCCAGAGGCGCTGGGCTTCAGCCCCGAGGACGCGGTGGAGGCGCTGATCAACAGCAGCCACCACCCGCTGCCCGGCGCCTTCGATGGCTATGCTAGAGGGCAGCAGCTGGCCGCGGCCGCCGGCGGCTCCGTGCCGGCCGAGGAGATGGGCTCGGCGGCCGCCGTGGTGTCGGCAGTGATCGCCGCGGCGGCGGCGCAGGGCGGCGCGCCCCACTACCACCACCACCACCACCACCCGCACCACGGCGGCGGCGGCGGCGGCGGCGGCGGCGGCGGGCACCCCCACGCCGCGGCGCCGGGCAGCGCGCCGCCCTCCTCCGCCTCCTCGGCCGCCGGCTCCGGCTCCGGCGGCGGCGGCGGCGGCGGCGGCGGCGCCGGGGGGCTGCACCACCCGCACCACGGCGGCGGCGGCGGCGGCGGCCTCCACTTCGACGACCGCTTCTCCGACGAGCAGCTGGTGACCATGTCGGTGCGGGAGCTGAACCGGCAGCTGCGGGGCGTCAGCAAGGAAGAGGTGATCCGGCTGAAGCAGAAGAGGAGGACCCTCAAAAACAGGGGCTATGCCCAGTCCTGCCGCTTCAAGAGGGTCCAGCAGCGGCACGTCCTGGAGTCGGAGAAGAACCAGCTGCTGCAGCAAGTGGAGCACCTAAAGCAGGAGATCTCCAGGCTGGTCCGGGAGAGGGACGCCTACAAGGAAAAGTACGAGAAGCTGGTCAGCAATGGCTTCAGAGAAAACGGATCCAGCAGCGACAACCCTTCCTCTCCAGAGTTTTTCATGTGAGTTCCCACAGCCTTGCCACCTTAACTAAAAGTTCTCCGTGTGAGTTGTTGTTGGGGGCTTTGCTAGAGCCACAACCCCGCTTGCCACCTTCTATTACCTTTTTTTTTTAAAAAAAAAAAAAACAACAACAAACTCAAAACAATTTTAAAACAAAGTTGTTTTTTGAGTTGGTTTCTGGTTTTGTTTTTTTTTTTGTTTGTTTTCTTTTTTCTTTTTAAGGTGGGCTGGCTCCGTGTTGGCCAACCTAAAGTTCTCCATGAGTTTCCTTTCTGTTTATTATTATTATTATTATTTTTTATTTTTGTGGGGGCTTGCTGTTGTGTTTTTTTTTTTTAATTTGAAAGATTCAACTCGCCACCAACTCAGTTCTTCATATGAAGCTTGCTCTTCCTGAAACCTGCCATCCACATTATATATATATTTTTAAGTTCATGAGGTGTTTTTTTCTTTTGAGCTTGCTGTGTCCAAAAAGTCAGATTTTTTTTTTTTTGCCATCCTGAGTTCTTCATATGAGATTTGAGCTTTGCAAAAAGAAAAATAAAATAAAAAATTTAAAAAACAAAACAAAAAAAATATACAAAAACAATGTGAAATTTTTAGACTCCAGCTTGCTGAGTTCCATCAGTTTTTAGCGTTGTTGTGCAAAACTAGAGATATGCCTAGATCAACCTGCCAAAATCAAGCCTGCATCAACCTTCGGTGTGTTCATGTGAGTTTTGGCCTTAATCTGCCAAACGTGAGACTTTAGTCTGCCATTAGAATCCCATACTCATCTCATGCATTACGCTTGCTATTTTGTCTTAGCAACAATGAACTATAACTGTTTCGAAAGACTATGAAAAAGAGACATTATATTAATAAAAAACCCTGCATGCTGGTCATGTACGGTATAATTATTTTTTTTTTCTTTTGCTTGGAAATGGACTTTTGGAGACTATTATGGCATGGCATTCATCCTTTTGTTTTATTGCCTCATCACTTTTTTGGGTTGAAAGCAAAAAAGTGCAACCTTTGATCTTCCTCCTCCTCTTCCTCCCCATTAAAGTTTGCATCTGCTCTAAAACTGCTTTGAGTTACTGAAAACTTCAGACTTCCTTTTAAATGCACTGAAGCATTCCCTCTCAAAAAACCTGCCAGAATGGATTTTGATAACCTAATGTGGCAAAAAAAAAGTACTAAAAAAAAAAACACACAGAAAGAACTTTGGAAAGGTGTTCAAAAACAAAATTCACATCCCACTTGGGGGGAACATTGAAACCATGCTGTTGCCTAAAAACAGTCTAAAATTAATTTTAAGTGATCTGCCCCATTTTTTTTTTTCCTTTTGCATTTGGTCATTGTCAAATGTGGAATGCTCTGGGTTCCTAGTATATAATTTAATTCTAGTTTCTGTCATCTGTTAGCCCAGTTAAAATGTATGCTACAGATAAAGGAATGTTATAGATAAATTCGAAAGAGTTAGGTCTGTTTAGATGTAGATTTTTTTTTTAAAGATTGATGCACTAAATTGTTTACTGTCGTGATGTAAAGGGGGGTAGAATTTGCAACGGGACTGTTTTAAAAAGTAGTTTATGCAGCATGTGCTTGCAACTTAAATATAAGTTGGGTATATGTAGTCCTTGCTATACCACTGACTGTATTTGAAAACCAAAGTATTAAAAGGGGGAGGCACCCCTGTTTATATCTATAGGGGTATTTTACATTAAAAATGTATGGGTTGTTTTTTTTTTTTTTTTTCAAAATTGAAGTATTTGGGACTGAATTGCACTAAGATATAACCTGCAAGCATATAATACAAAAACAACAAAAAAAAATTACGAACCTGTTTAGAACGCTAATACAATTTATGCAGTTATAAAGATGGCATTACTGCACAGTTTTAAAATGATGCAGATTTTTTTACAGTTGTATTGTGGTGCAGAACTGGATTTTCTGTAACTTCAAAAATTCCACAGTTTTAAAGGCAATAATCAGTAAATTTTATTTTCAGGGACTGATATCCTGTCTTTTAAAAAAAAAAAAAATGGAAAGTAAATCTTACCACAATAAATATAAAAAAATCTTGTCAGTTACTTTTTCTTTTACATATTTTGCTGTGCAAAATTGTTTTATATCTTGAGTTACTAACTAACCACGTGTGATGTTCCTATGTGCTTTTCTTTCATTTTCAACTCTATGGTTATATCAAAAGAGAGAATAATCTACAATAATAAACTGCATTTTTTTGATTCCGTACTCAGTTTCTTAGTCTGTAGTTTAAAGTTCAATAACTCCGAGCGCAGTACTTCAGCGTACTGCCTGCCGAAGGGGCGATGCTGATCCAAGAGCTGGACTCAATAATATTCAGGAGGGGAGAAGGAAAAGGATAGCTTGCTGTAAAATGGAAAATTGTCACCTGCTAGAAATCGAGTTATTCTTTCAGGCAGTTGAAAAACGTGAGCTTTCAGGTGCTGCTTCTGACTTCTCAGTAGTGCAGTGAGCTCAGTTTCAGTGACTCAGATCATCCCACCAAGTTTTAGGAGATCTCAAAGGGGAGGTCTGCTTAAGAACCTGATGACATGATACAGCCCTGTATTTTGATTGTTTTATGATGGAGTGAAGTGAAAGGGAAGACTTCACATCCTCTTATCATCTGATCCCAGCTAAGCATGCCTGTCTCTAGTAAGAGATGACACCACATCAGGCATGGCTTGTCACAGAGCCACTTAATGCTAGATCGAAAGATTTCTTGACATTTTGGTCCATACTGCCTCCTTTTTCCTTTTTTACCCCCCTTTTTGGTTGTGTTTGCCCTGTGGATTTTTGTTTTTCTTTTTTTTTTTCTTTTTACTTTTCTTTTTTTATTTAGGGTTTGGTTTGTTTTTTTTTTTTTTTGCTACAGGCCTTAGAAAGCCCAGGGAGAGCTGAGGAGCAGAGAAAAAAAAAAAAATCCAAAGGACTTCCTCCAAGTTTTGAGGGTTATTTGTTCTAAACAATCAATCCCAGAGGTTAATGTGCTAGAAACGTTCAGGTCTCTTCACTGCAGTTCTCCATGTCAAAGGGCATTTCGACTTGAAAGGCTCCTCAAACCCTTGACCCAGTTTGTTTAAAGCCACCTTTCCCCGAGAGCCTCCAGTGTCCATTCACAGAGTCCTCTCCTGCTCTTGGAATGGGATTATCTGTCCA